GTTCGTGGTCTGCACCACCGCCAGCGTCTGCTCGGTAGCGCATCAGCTGATTTCATTTTCTGTTGGAGCGGTATGATTTCGGGCAGAGACGTACTTAGCACTTCTCGTCAACTGGAGAGTGAGTACTTTTTCCTTTATTCTTTTTTACTTCGTCGCCCTCGTTTCACTACACATCACCTTTGTTATTTCAAGTGTAGTTGTTTCTGAAAAGGAAAACCCCAACTTTGCGGACACCCTGTATATTATGCGAAGAGAAACGGGTCATGCGGAAAAAAGTAGGAAAATAAAGGGCAAATTCCGAAAAAAGAAGCAAAGTGAATTCGAGCAGAAACTAGGATAGGTAACCGAAGCGATACGTATTTCTGCTTGTTGACCTCATCAGGCCCGAAGTGAATGCACATATGTAACTACAAAAGTAAATACACATGCTCATACATCCGGATACTAGTGTAACCTGAGGAAACGAAGTTGGAGAGGGAAAGAAATTGGCACACGGAGTCACAAACAAGAGCTAATCTACACATTGTAGTGTAACATGGCTAGAAGACATCGAATTTTTAAGGCGACATCTAACCACAATCACGGGGCCGGTCATAGACACTTGCTGTGGTACTTCAAGCCCAAAGGATCTTAAAGAGAAAAAGATCATGCGGAAAAAGGTATATGACAACAAGTAGGAAAATAATGGGCAAAATCCGCAAAAAGGAGGAAAGTGGATTCGAGCAGAAAATAGAATAGGTAACCCGAGCGATACGTTGAAAATTCGAGGTCGTATAGCCATTTTATACTACAATGTGTAGGTTGGCTCTTGTTGTGGACTTCGTGTGTCGTTTTTTTTTTTCCCTCCAACTTCGTTTCCTCAGGTTACACCCGTATCCGGATGTGTGGGCATGTGTATCTACTATTGTAGTTTCATATGTGCATTCATTTCGGGCCTGATGAAGCCAACCAGCAGAAATACGTATCGCTCGGGTTACCTATCCTATTTTCTGCTCGAATCCACTTTCCTCCTTTTTGCGGATTTTGCCCATTATTTTCCTACTTGTTGTTATATACCTTTCTCCGCATGATCATATTCTCTTTGTAGATCCTTTGGGCTTGAAGTACCACAGCAAGTGGCTATAACCGGCCGCATGGTAGTGGTTAGACGTCTCCTTGAAAATTGGAGGTCGTATAGCCATTTTATACTACAATATGTAGGTTGGCTCTTGTTGTGGACTTCGTGTGTCGTTTTTTTTCCCCTCCAACTTCGTTTCCTCAGGTTACACCCGTATCCGGATGTGTGGGCATGTGTATCTACTTTTGTAGTTTCGTATGTGTATTCATTTGGGGCCTGAAGAAGCCAACCAGCAGAAATACGTATCGCTCGGGTTACCTATCCTATTTTCTGCTCGCATCCACTTTCCTCCTTTTTGCGGATTTTGCCCATTATTTTCCTACTTGTTGTTATATACCTTTCTCCGCATGATCATATTCTCTATATATATATTAAATTTGTTTAATTAGTTTGGGTAATAGTGTTTGCCTAGTTTTGATGAATTATTTAGATTTAAAACGGTACTTCGGTAACAAAATGCATTTTACTGAATGATGTATATTACGAGTATAATAATTATTGTACTTCTACACATCGAAAAAATAGAAAAATAATGGACAAATACCGCAAAAAGCAGGAAAGTGAATTCGAGCAGAAAATAGGATAGGTAACCTGAGCGATACGTATTTCTGCTTGTTGTTGTAGCTGATGATCAATGTATCCAATTATGCCAAAAGTACGATAATCTGTAAGCACAAAAAGAATATAAGAAACACTTACTCCAAAATTACAAAAATAAGGATCGCGGAAATACAAGTCACTTTATGAGGACCCTTCAACAGCAATACTCCATACGACCTACCCATACTTTACAAAATAGAAACTTTACGATGCCACAAACTTCTAGAGTTCCAACTGCCCCAATTAATATGCCGCTACCTAACATGGCTAATTAATAATAATAATGATAATAATAATAATGATAATAATAATAATAATAATAATAATAATAATAATAAGAGAAATTTCAACCTACAATAGAGATTTAATGATACTTATCGCCCCACACCTATAGTTGGACCAGGGAAAGATTGCAAGCCGAAAGAATGCGGACAAAAAATTGCGAAGTTGTCAGATGTTCTACATAAAATGCGGTCCATACATATTAACATATTTAAGATATAGAATTGTTCCGCTGAATTTGGCAACGTAGCTGGAAAACCCAGGCCGCAGGTAAACATCCGGTCGCTGATTGGTCCAAAACTCTTATCTTATCTGAAACTAGAATAACGTGCCGATGGCACGGTCATTTATAAACCTACTCCCATAGGCGTAGGCAGTTGGCAAATACTTTGAAAATATAATTTACTGTTTAGTGGTGATAATGGAATTCAAGCATGGGAAAGTTATTCACAGCCAGGCAAGGGAAATAATAGCAAACGTGATACGTGCTTGCGATGCAGAAGCGGCTAACAATACTTTCGTTTATCCACTGGTAGCTAGAAATGCAAGGGCGGCATATTATACGGGTGTTAGTGAACGAACTATAAGTAAAATTAGAAAAGAAGATAAAGACAGGCAAAATGCAACCTCCACACAGCCTTTAGCTTCTCCCGGAAAAAAGAGATCACGCCCTTCTGTGATCCAAAAAATTGATGGAGTCGATTTTTCCATTATTCGGAGAATGATAGAAAAATTTTACTGTGATTTTAAAGTGGTACCTACTTGTAGTAAACTTCTAATCAAACTGAAGGAAGAAATGGAATTTCCATTTGGTAAAGAATCGTTGAGGCTGCTTTTAAAAGCAAAAGGATTTTACTGGCGTAAATGCCACAACAAAAGGAAATTACTAATGGAAAGACCCAGTATTTTACATTGGCGATACAAGTATCTTAGGTCTATTAAAAAGTTCCGGGAAGAAGGAAGGCATATTATTTATTTGGACGAAACTTGGGTTGATAATGACCTCACTTTCAAGAAATGCTGGCAAAGCGAAGAAATTATGGGTGTCCTGAGCAATATAAGTTCTACAGGTAATAAAGTTTCTTTCACCTCGATTTTGCTTATTATACATTTTTCTCAATTTTGGAATATTCTTAATAAGTGCTCATTTAATTTGTCTAATTGAATACATAATCCCTTGCAAGTATTTTTTTCTCAAAAATATGTTTTTTATACATAGTGATTCAAAAAGGTGTTGGCAAACTTAAAATAACACTAAAATGAGGCTATTTATTCATTTCCAGGACGACTTATAATTGTTCATGCGGGTTCGCAAGATGGTTTTGTTCCTGGAGCCTGTCTCATTTTCAAGGCTGGCTGTGCCACTGGTGATTATCACGGTCAAATGAACCAAGAAAATTTCACGAAGTGGCTTACTGAAAAACTATTTCCTAACATTCCTCCTAATAGTATTATAATAATGGATAATGCACCTTACCATTCAGCTTTGGAAGACAAGCCTCCAACTAGATCTTCTCTAAAAAGAGACATCATCACGTGGTTGAGCAAAAAAGGTATAGAGCATGATCCTAATGCTAAAAAAATGGAGCTTTATGAAATAGCTTGTCTACATAGGCCACCATCTGATGAGAAAAATTATAAGATAGATAATTTAATAAGAAGTTTCGGACACACCCCACTTCGAACGCCACCCTATATGTGTCAGTTTAATCCCATAGAGATGATTTGGGCACAAGTAAAATTTTTCATTAGAAGCCATAATACAAGCGGCGAATTTACTATAAAAAAACTAGATGAAATTTCTAATAAGGCCATCGCTTCAGTAAGTGCCAGTGACTGGCAAAAGGTTATTGGACATGTTATAAAAATTGAAGATGAATATTGGGAAAAAGACAGTCTCATTCAAGAAATACAGGAAGAAATAATAATCAACATAGGAGGTGAAAGTGATAGCAATGACAGTTCCTCAGACAGTGATCATGACTCTAATCAGGATTGAAACTATACTAGATTGGCTACCTTTTAGAATTTTTAGATATTCATTTATTATACTATTGGTTTGTGGCTTTTAGTATCTCAGTAGAAAGTCTAATTCTATGTGTTGTTTATGGGTTATTTCATCAAGAAATTACTTTTTGTTTTCCTATATTTTTCTATTCAGTCAGATATTTTTGACTTGTTGTATTCTATTTTAGAAGAATGCATAATTTGTTTTGCTGTTCAATCATAATGCGTACATAGGAATATTACTTGTTGCCTAAAAAATATATTTATTTTGTTCTCAATATTCAGTGTTTGTGTATATTTATTTCTTATAATGTATGTTTGGTATCACGTCATTATGAATCGCAAAAAAATATTAATACTACCAGTTGTAATAAAATATAAATTCAATTAATAATTCAAGTCTCTCCGATCTCCGCCTATGACTCCATATAAAATCGTCTAATGGTAAGGTTTTTTCATCGCATTTCCCCCTTTCGTCCCTAGCAATCTTTGGCTGGTCGATCAATATGTATATCTACACCAACCATTAATAGAACACCAAATCAACCCCAAACGCCAAAATATCGTCATCAGTCAGACCTAGTGCTTTTACGAATAATGGTCAACCTAGAAATTTTATATCCGAAGAATCAACAAATTTAGGCTAAAATGAAACAGTCTATGAGGATTTTTACTTTGAAAACTTTGAAGCGACACTACCGCCTGAACAAGTAACTGACGAACAGTACAAACAATCCCAAGAACATGCATTTGAACAAATTAAAAATATTCCCATAGCTAGTCAACAAAACGAATAAACTCAAATATAAATGCTCATTCCAATACGCACTTGCCATATCTTTACAGGCCATATCGTTGTTAACACAAGTAAACCACGTAACTCCACTTTATGTACAAATTCAGATTTTGCTGCCGTCTATTAGACAACCATCGAATCTATTGGCTATGAGCGTGCTAAGGGTCATTATAGATTTCTAGGTAAGAAATACGCAAACAAGAATATCGCGTATCTCCCTGGCAAGTGGTCTATTCAACAAGAAAAACGCGTAAGTCCAGGATTTGCCGCGCATTTACATAACCTAAATGTGTGTGCCGTTTTGACGTGGGTATTCAGCGGAAATTTGTCAGGTAATTAATTGAGATTTTATTTGGTATGATGTAAATTTGACACACTTATAATAGGTCAAAGAATTTCAATGACATTTCAGATATGATTCTATTTTTTTACATTCAATTATTACTGTTGGAGTTACTTGCTCTTCGCTGTAAAATACAGACTGCGTACTTTGGAGTTACGCGCTTCACCAAAGTGGTATTTGGTAACCAACACTTTCTCGTTAATGGAGTCATTTGCCGAATCAATATACTATTTTCTTTTAATTTTCACCGTTAAACCAAACTGGAAATTTGAGAGATCTGAGACTTGTCCTAGGGACATACATATTAAAAATCTTACGAGGAATGTTATAGAATGTTTCCAAAGCTACGTTTACATCTGATAAATTGTCAAGAAACGTCCAATTAACCAAGCTTATTTGTTCATATAGTGCTACAAAATTGGATTTTCTGAAATTATATGATTCTCTGGCACATTTGATACTCTTTTTAGAATGGAAGCTCATGTTGATTATCATGGTGAACATCCTCAGGTAGTAGGTCATCGTAAGCCTTAACGACGCTACATTGTTTATTTGATAACACTAAGTCTAATAGCCTATTATTTTCATTCCGAACATCATTGAATTGAGAAAGATCGAAGAAACCCATAAAAGTCACCTAGTATATAAATACTTTTGCCAAAGAGGTAATCAAGCGATTCTAGATGTTCAAAGAATCTTTCATAGCAGCAAGTACTCGTGTCAGGCGGTATGTATATCACAAAGAAATAAGTCGCTTCATTATTTTTCCCATCATCACTTTCCTAAAGAAATTAGCGCCAATTCGGTAGCACTGCCAATCCAACTTTATGCTCTCCAATAGAAAGATTTGATTCCACTATTACAGAATAACTAAGAATATTACGAATTAAAAGACCTACTTTTGATCTCATGACTGAAGCAATTTTAATTTATAGTCAAAGTGTACTCAATCACCTCATATACCCCTTTTGAATTGTTATATGGTACAACAACCCTAGAAAACGAAAGCACCAACGAAGTCTACCACAAAAGAATCGACTATGTACAAAAAAAAAATAACCAAAAAAGGATCAAAGCATTTGAAAAATCCAGAACTAGATTATGATGTACAAGGGATAAACGAAATAACGGAAAATCTCCCCAAATACAAATCTTAAAAGGACCGATAAAATAAGACCTATGTATGCACCAAAAACGAAACGAATATACACAGGAAAATCTCCAAGTCAGAATACAAAACAGAACTCGTATTAAGAAGTATTAAACCTGTACGTACGTTTTCCGGGTGATCGCCCTGGCGCAAGCTGTGAGAATTCAGCCAATTGAAGGAGAAACTCCTTACATAATAACTCCATCTATAGATTGTTATTTATTCTCTCACTACCATACATTTTATTTTTCTATCAACTTAACCAAACTAGATGAATATATAAAACAGTTAATCCGCTCGATCAACAATTAAAATTAGAATACGATAACCATATAGTTAAGTATCAAATTTCAGCCCACTAGAAAACTAAAAGAGGTTCAATTAACGGCCTAGGCACAATAATTAAATATATTTCAGGAAATCTTGATCAGAATGAGTTTGTAGAAATAAATAAAAGCCTAGAAATTGTACGCTCTAATCAAGATACCCGTAATGAACCAAATACCAAAACTATATTTTTTATAAAAACAATTTGCCCAAAATGTAGAACATATACAATCTCAACTTGTGTCTAACCTAAAGTTCTATAACAATCTCAACAGCCAAGTAGATGATTTGAGATATTTGTACATTATATTTGAACTCATAATTATACAGCAACTTAAAGACTACCTGAGCCAATTAGTTCACGCTATACATTTTGGAAAAAATACCAACATACATCCGTTAGATTCATCTGTGAATTATATTAACAGCATTCAAGAAACATTATAACATCATTCTGCAAATCGCTTCTTACCCATACAAACTGCATATGATCGAAATTATTAGCCTTTGTCTATTCGGAACCATTATTAAGCAAAAAGAAATTATTTTTGTTATGAAGATACCTATTTTAAAAGGACATATCACCAAGCTGTCAGAGTATACCCTGTATTTAATCATGGACCAATTATAAAGCTCCCACAGAATTACCTCGTAAAAGATGATACGCAGAAATTCTGTCAAAATAATAATCTGCTATGCCTCAAATTATGGGAAACAGAATGTCCTGACTGGCGTCACTGTGGAAAACTCCATTAATCCTTATCAAACAATAACTACTTAATAAATATTCAAAAGTCTCAAAACTCTCTCTCTCAAAACTTAATAACACAGGATCAAACTTTCTTAATAAACTCATCTTCAATTATCTCTATTACTGAACCAGTAAATTATATTAGAACAAGTATTATAGCCAAAAGATATACTGGTAACTAAAGAGTTAATTGATTCATTGATACAATTTACCGTTCAGTTTACCACTGATACCCCAAACTTTGCCACACTACATTACCAAGACAAGAACATTACTACTTTACATTCCAGATTAAAATACTTACATAATAGCTATTGGATAAGCAATATAATCATTTATGTACTTGTTAATGTATTAAGTTCAATCTTAACATAGTGATATATAAATTTCGTTTTAATAAATCAACAAAGCTACTCGATCCCGGAAGGGATGGGGTTAAGGTACGCAGTATACCTCTTAATAATGTGGGAGCCCGCGAAGCAACCCCAACCGCACGACGCTGCTCCCCGCGTAGAAGAGCCGCACCTGAATGCTGCACAGCTTGTACCAGCAACGCCGCATGTTCGAGAACATCGACGGACAACCGACCGGCACCACGAAGCAAGTCGCCGAGTGAAAAAGCCGCCAGGAGCCAACGAAGACCACAACCACGACGCAAACTACACAGCTATGTATCTAATACACAAGACATTGTTTGTTATTCTGTTAATATAGTTGTTAGTCGGCACACAGTGTTCATCTGTGATCCCAAACCCCCAACCCACAATAATATGAATCCACTTTTAGGCATATCCTAGTTATTTGTTTTCGATGTATTTGAAAAAGTGTAATGAAGACATTTGTCACGTTTGTAAAACAAACAGGAAGCTTTATCATTATGTTTATACGACAATGTACAAATATTATTGTTATATAAGTATAAAAATATTGTAAACCGCTGCGACGGTACCATTTCCTAACCTGTAGTCTTCGAAGCAATACAGTTCTTTTTAAAAACTCGTGTTTTACGACTGAACATTGATTTCATATTCACTGGCACTGTAGAAACTGTTTTGTAACAAGTATTCTCTAAGAAGCCTGGAGAACTGGCATCCTGTCAACATTAGAGTCTTCGCAAAATCTTGCAAAACTGCTATAAAGCGACACAGTTGGCTTATTACGTTGCGTCATGGAGATTCTAGAGTGAGATACTAAAATATCGCTAGCGTTCCTTGTATTGTGTTCTTGCACATGTGACCTTACTGAGAAGGAATTCAGATTAGCATGCAAATAATGAAGTGTCTCGTAAATGTTGTGGCAGGCTAGCCCTTAATATCCGCAACGCTTTGAACAAGCCACGGCATGTATGGTCATAGGCTACCCACAATTCTCATTGTAGTTTTTTGCATTGTAGAAGCTTTGTGGGCCTTACTGAGCTACCCCATGGATGACGCCATATGCGAGGTGGCTGCGAATTACCCGAAGTAAACAGTTCTTATTGACTCATTGTCCAAGCAATGGGCCACTGTGTCTCGTTATAAATATTTATCTGGAAATTTTAGAACAAACATGAATTACGTGATCTGTCTAGGTTAAGTGGCTATCTATAACAAATCCTAACAGTTTTACTGATGAATGGTCCCCACTGCATTTATGTCTATTTGAAGAAAATTACAGTTTAACCTGGTCAAGTCCATCAGTCTCGTCAATCTGGTTGGCTTTGGAGAGCAGAGTCCTATCATCTGCAAAAAGATAGCATCTGCTACTATTGATATTTTGTAAGAGGTCATTAATGTACACTAAGAATAATAGGGGACCCAAGAAAAAGCCCTTAGAGACTCCGTTCGTTATCAGTAGCATCTCCAACTGTACACCACAGGACTAACCACCTGCTTCCTACCTACTAAATGCAATTCCATTAGTTGTAGCGGTTTATCACGGATGCCATAAAAGTCTGATTTTCCAATCAGTATGCATGCGATCTACAGCATCCTCAATAAAGCTACCATTGCCTTTACTGTCGAAAAGTGCTTCCGGAATCCAAATTGGGAAATGGAATTAAGGGAGCTATTTTCGAAGTACTTAATCTTTCCTTGATAATAAGTTCAAATATTCTGCTCAAGATCGGAATTATAGCGATAGGTCTATAGTTATGTAAATCATATTAATTTCCTTTTTATAATCTGAAACAGTCAATCGTTAGTCGTTCAATGAACTCTTCAATAGTTATTTTCAACATTGCACTGTTCATTCCATGAAAGTCATGTGATGGTGAGTTTTTTAGTTGAAGAATAACCAAGGCACATCAGACGGAAGTATTGCTGACATGAAGAATGAATTAGGCTTTTCAATACTCTCAAGTATTCTGTAAAATACGAAACCTAAAAAACTACTGAATTCATCGCTAGAAATAATCGTGGTTTCTGTCTGCTTATACGCTTCTCACTATCTCCCAATTTGCTTTACTTCTAGAATAACAACTATTTTTATCAATTTCAGAGTTTGTCGATATGACCTTCGTATTTCCTTATACCTCTCCCAGTCACGCTCATCCTTACCGCGTGAAAACTGTCTTCTTTTATTACCGTTTTTCCCTTAGCTGTTGCAGTGAAAGCGAGTACCACTTAAGTCTATGCGCCTTCATGTTAAAAGTCTTTAAAGTAAAACAACTACCAATGTAAGTTGATGATGTACAATGTACTGTAATTTCATTGGCGGAGTTAGAATCCCTATTCAACCCAAATAACGTACTACGCATCCTGTCGACAAATGACTCCAACTGTATCAGTAATAATGCATTTATGGGCCGTTTTGATCAAATATGTATTATCAGGTGATGTTTGGGAATTACAAAAAACACCTGAATGATCAGCAACAATACTACTAACTTTAACTTAACTAGAGTAGAACACTTATTTATGAACACAACTATCTACGTCTGACTACTTATTTACGAATTATAATGTCGTGCTATCAACTTGAACTCTATTTCTCCGTTCCCAGCCGTCGGCTTACGCCGGCTCCACACGTTGGCCCCAACGTTGGCTCCAACGCCACTCGCCCAACGTGTGTATCTAGAAAATAGCGTTGGCCCCAACGTTGGAGCGACCGTTGGTAGTTAGCTGTCGATTGTCGGTTTTATCAAAGGAATCTGCGCCAACGTTGGCAATCCGTCCACATATTGGCTCACTGGCTCTGTCTTGTTGTAACACGCGTCGAGTGCGTATGTGGAGATATGTCATCAACAACATCGCTACCCGCGTGGACAAACAAAAAAGTTGTAGTATTGTTAGAGTTATACCAGGCGCATCCAATAATATGGAACGCCTCTCGCAAGGACCATAAAAATAGAAATTTAGTAGCCAATGCATGGCGCAATATTCAACAGAATATGAAAATGATTTATTCTATTGAGGAATTAAAAAAGAAACTGAAATTGCTCTAAGCGCTTTTACAGTACTGATGAGTGCGTATAATTTATTATTATTAAATTATCTAATAATTTAATATTAAATTGCCTTGTAAAAAGCTGCTAGAATGGAGTGTATGGTATGTACTTACTGGTATCGAGTTTTATGATGCGTTGTCATCCACCATCTCCTTTCTTTTTTTTCAATAACAAATATAAATTATACGCACTCATCAGTACTGTAAAAGCGCTTAGAGCAATTTCGGTTTCGGTGTCGGACATCTTCACATTGGCTCTGACAGAAAGGAACTAGTATAATAACCAACGTGTGGACGCTTCACCAACTTTACCGACCAGCGTTGGTACCAATGTTGGGGCCAACGTGTGGAGCCGGCGTTACATACGCCGCTTTGAATGGGTTTGTTGTCTCGACAGTTTTCTCGTTGCTCGCATCGATGCCGAAGGACAATCCTTGCCGAGGTTCCGAACAGATGGCGCTAATAGTACCGTTATCATTACACTGCCTAATCCCTAAAGTCATTCCGTCCCGGAATGATTTCACTGGTGCTGGATGTCGATGTCGGCACGACTTCCCTTTCTTGCAATAGAGTTCTTGGAGAAGTAACAATCCACACTATTTCTAGGAGGTAACCGTCTAGGACTGTGTCAGCATACCAGAGATCAAATGCGTATATACCCAAAGACTACCTAAAGCATGCTTCGGATGATTCCCCAGTCCAAGTTGTCCAGACCACATGCCAGCTTAGGTATTGCCAGTTTTTTCAGGTCCTTGGCAATCAACACTTCTCTAAGAGAGCATAAAGCATTCCAGACATCCTCGCAATTTGGTTTCTGATACGAAGCCTTTTTGGTAACCAGATAGAAGATCTTTCGGTTGGTACCCTTTTCAGCTATGGAGTACTTTCTCGCTCGATATTGGATGTCGAAAAACTCCTGCAGCCTCTCTATCCATCTTGCATCTTTACCCTCTAGATTCTTAAACTGGAGGAGCCATTTTAAATCTGCGTGATCGGTCTGGAGTAAGAATTTTCTGCCATAGAGGTGCTAGTAGAAATGTTCCATCGCCAGCAACTTCCCCCGGGTAACGCAATAGTTACGCTCTGCTTTGCTTCCTGGACTTGGATAGTACAGCACCTATGTCCACAATGCTAGGATCAGTATCTAACTCGCATCACAGCGCAGAAATCTACTGAGCAGCGGAAAATTTAATGAAAATATGATAAAAGCGATGAAAAATAAAGTAAGCGAAGCAATACGGAACGAAGTGAGAGGGCAATGTGAGATGGACGCAGTAACAACTGAGTCGGATGCAGAAAATATGAGTAAATATCAAACAGATAATGCTATCAAATAGGAGATTCTCTAAGAATACGTTTCTACGAAATCCTTACCCATAAATGAGAGACGGAAACTACCAAAACTCCAAGATAACATGAAACTAAAGGTGATAGTAAAACAAGCAAACGAAGCAGTTTCACAAATCTTAGAAGAAACACTGATTGAAAATATTACGGAGGTCAACCGCCTATTGTACGTGACAGCAAAAATAGTAACAATGAAAGTAAGCCTACATCAAAACGTTACTGAAGAACAAATCAAACACCTACAAAATAGAAACACCTTCAGACTTCTGCCCCCTGGAGAAGCGAGTAGAGATCACAAAACTCAGATCTGAACTCTCAATCCTCCATGAAGAAGATAACTCCAAATTGAAATGTCGATACAGCTTAAACAATTTAGAAGACCGGCATGGGTATCATGTAAAAAACCTACAAAACGTCAAAAAAAACCTATAAGATGTCAACTTACGAACTATGTAGTTTTTAGGGCGCAAACCGCCATTCCACGTTTGCTCACACTAGGATCGTTGTGAACGTCCAGCTATGAAGGAATCACTCAACTAAACTATACACGCATTATTGGTTGCATAGTTTTGTGAGGCTGAGTGATCCGCCGTGTATGTAGCTTTTATCTCTGAGAAGAAGGTTGGTTGAATAACAAGATCGGATCTGGATGATTATGTGTATAGAATCAGTGATATTTGCTGTGTGAGAAAATCATTACTGAATGTGCTGAATAGGACGGGTTATTTATATGTTGTGCTTTCTGAATAGAAGTTATGTTCAAAGTTATAAATTACGAAAAACTGAGGAGAATTACGGGAAATCATCACCGCGGCCGCGTTGTGTGTAATTACTGTAAGCATGTATATGGCTTGTAATTCGACAGTGTACAGTGAATATAATTATTTCTTACCTCTCTCATTATTGAAATTCAACAAATTTGTATATGTAATTTCCAGAATGGATAAGAAAAAGTGGATGCGCAACTAATTTCTAGCTTTGAATCTCAATTCAAGTGTATTTGAGACAAGAACCCAATGTAATTATCACCAACACATACAAGTTACAGCTTGCCACGCCTTTTTTTGGTTAATTAATGAAACACAATGATAAATGCTATCTAACGGTTGGTCCAAGCAAAACAGTTGTCTAGTGGTATGCAAATTTAGGTCCTAGCTCAATCAAGCAGAGAGTAGGGGCGGGTTAAGAGCGCCAGTGA